TGTTTTTTAAATTTTGATGTTTTATGTATTTATATGTATTTATGGTTTTAATGTTTTATGTCAGTCGCCCAGAGTCCCCCACTGGGGGGAGATGGGCGGGGGAGAAATTTGACTAAATAAATAAATAAATAAATAAATAAATAAAAAAATAAGTCATATTATTCCTCTATGTAATAATTTCCTACTTTTTTCATATTGAAAATTAGAATGTGCTACCAACTTTTCAAAGTTTCTAGGGGCCACATACAGGTCTCAGGTTTCAAGTTGTGCACTTTTCCACTAACCTATTGAAACTGTACATTCGTATGCATGTTTAACAGTCTGTTTTGTATCACTGTTGGGGGCTACAAGCAGACATTTTGCTGGTATGCCAAGCTTGTGAAAAGAATCTACACTTTCAAGTTAGAATGGTAGAATGCTGTCATATTCATTAGCTATTATACCTCTTCAGACTACTGAGCTTACGATAGATAGACAGACAGACAGACAGACACACACACACACCCCCCTTGTAAGAGAAGAGGATGTACTGTACTATACTGACAGCTCACTAGCATGGCTAAAATGTACACTGGTAAACTGGAACATAAGTTTAAATGCACCCATGATGAACTGTTACTGTTATACAGGTGATGTAAGATAAAATAGAGCTATTTCCTAGTCATCTCATGTTCTAGGAGATCCTTAAAGAGGCTCTCACAGGGTTATTTTTATCCCATTCCTCTTTGTAATGGCCCTTGTTCTTTTTAAGTTAGTGGGTTACTAGGAAAGGAATTACTGGGCAAACCTGAAATTAAAAATAGGTGAGCTTTGCCAGCACTTCATAGGGAAGCCAGAGGGAGTGGTCGCAAGAAATAAAAAAGAATTATGGAAAAAGTTGGAAGTGAAGATCCACTGGCCTCATTGCCTTGAAACATCAGGACAAAAGGCTTACAAGGTACTGTAAAGTACAACTGAAAACAACATTTAGCTTGTGAATCTTACTTTTGGTCAGGCAGATAATACAGGAAGGTGCTGCCCAATACAAGGCAAATAGATATTCCAAAGAAGAAGCTAACATGCATATACTGCACATCAATAACAGGATCTTCATGGAAGCCATGAAAGTCTGGATTCTGAAATGTAAAAAATACAAAATGGAGTTAGTTTACAGGTGTACAAAGAGTATTCAACATATCTCCTTTGATATTTCCCTTAAAGTTCATCATCATATACACCCTCATTCTAAACCTCGCCACCAAAAGAGAAACAGCTGTGATCCCTTGCCAACACGGCAAATCCAATACTAATAATGAAAATGGCATCTTGTTTTATTTTAGGACTAGCAACCATTCCATGACAAAGCCATGCAGGTCACATTCTTAAGTAAGGCTCTATTTATCTGCATTCATCCATCCAACCTCATCCCTGCTGTGCTACTAGCGGGTACAGAAGTCAAGGGCCATCTCCTCCCATTTACAAAGGCAGGAATTTGAAAATCTGAAATACAAATGAGGGCAAGAGATGAAGGAGCAGGACATGGAGAAATTAATTTGTCAGTTATCACCTGGACTTCCCTATCTTTCTCTAACCTGCTTATTTCAACAAAGGTTGATATAAGGAGGTATGTGCATGATGTTTATGGGTGTTACTTCACACCAATAATTTGCAAATTCTCATTCTATTAAACATTTGCTAAGGAACAAAGATGATATGTATTGGAAAAAACAGTTCTAAACTAGAAGGGTATGGATCTGACCTCCGGCTGAGCAGATGCCCAGTTCCACTGTACATCACGTTTTTGTATAGTGTTCAACAAACCCAAAGCCACTTTGCTAAAATTAGAAGTTGGATGGGAAAAAAAGGAAGAAAATGAATGCTGCCAAAAACCCTGCACCAGCTGTGCAAAAAGGAAAAGGTGAAAATTACTAAAATACACTAGTGGAGACCAACTGTAAGTAGGGAGGGGGAGTAAGGTATGAAATTCAAGTCCACTCTCCGGACTAAGTGTGTGTGTCTGTGTGCATGTGCGCCTGTGATAGATTCTCTTATAGAAACGTCCCAGAACAAGGATATTAGTACATAAGTTGTTTATGACACAATTGCTTCCAAACTTGCTTCCTCCTTAGCTTCCTAGATTTGTACACAGCCATTCCAACTCTCAGACTCTGTTGGTGTCCAACCTGCCCTTCTCGCTACAAAAGAACCTGTTCTGCCCTGGCATCATGAACTTGAACAGAAGCACAGAGGGATCTTTTGGAGACATGTATGCCTCCCAGCTGTTGCTTCAGCAGCAAAAGAAGAGGAGGTTGCACAGAGGCAGGCAGGTCACTAAAGCCACACACACACACACACACACACACACCCTCTGTACAAGGCAAGACAATGCCCTATTCAAAAAGCTGAGGACAGCCAAGGATGCAAGCTATCACGGCTTGCAAACTGTGGAAATCAGCAGCCACTTCTGGGGTTTCATTTTTTAAAAGACAGATGCAGAGGCTCAAAGAAACATACCCACAGAGCAACCACAGGTATGTGAAAGCCAACTGCAGGGACACTGTAGAAACAAATGCTCAGAGAAACTCTTTTCCAATCAAACTGCAGATGCAAAACAAAACAGTTCCAGCCTAGACTAGGTAGGAAATAACAATAACATTCCTAGTGATTCGCACAAGCTGAATTGTGAGCTGGAACAGAGGGGAAAGGGAAGCACACTCAATTCCCAGGAAGTCTATGATACTGACACAAAGTGCTATACTGTAGTTTGAAAAACAGTGAAAGATTCTAGCATGCAGCCTAGATTATTAAAGTTTAAGCAAGATTTTAGAGCCAAAGCCACATTATTAGTATTTCAAATTTGCTTTACTCATCCAGGTACCCTTTCCCAGTGCAGTAACAAAAGGCAATACATAAAATATCTGCATTCACTTATAGAATACAGTATCTCACATACAGTATATTATTTGGTGAATTTAGCACAATATAATCTAATCACTGCAGGAACAAATGGGCTAGTCAGAGCTATATGACCGAGAGGAGTTTAAAGCAAGAAAGTATGAGAAAAGGGCTTTGAACTAGAAGCAGCCTATTTCTTTGATGGTAAATTGAAAGATGGCATATACCTCCTGGTCCTCAACCTTGCAGAAACCAGGACACTTTTGAGGTGGGGAGTCCACCCATTTCTCAAACGCAGGAGCAGGAACTTGTACCTCTAGTTTATCAGGCCCATTGTCTATTTACGCATCAAATTTTGGGTTTCGTTTTCCCCCATTGCCATCACATGCACCAAAAGGGGAAATAAAAGGAATTTCAGAAAGCTAATAAAAACGGTAGAGCTGCAATCTCATTCAGCTGTTGCTTGGATACCCCTTTTGCCCAGTTCTAGGCGCCAGGGTTGTGAAGGACAAATCTAAGAGTTTGGGCGGGAGGGGGGGCGGAATAGCAGCAATCGAATGAATAAATTCTCTTGCAGCAGCCCTGCCTGCCCACACGGACACATACTTGTTTTCACCGCTTCCTCGAAACCACATGGAAGCCAATGGACACATTCATGGGCACGCTGAACTAAGACGGAACAGGACCTTCATGGATTCTGTCTGGGCCTGGTGGGGAGGAGATAACAAGTTGGTCAGAGAACCAGTCTGGACTATGGAGTTAGACTGTGCCACCACCCTCTCTCCCCACCTCTATGCCACACACAGCAGGGATTCCTTATTCCTTCGCCTACTTAACTGGTTGAGGCTGAGTCACAGCAGGCTTCCAAGTACAGGCACCCCTCCTCCCTTTGAATCCATGGAGCTATATCTGCAATGGATTTCCCCCTCTCTCCTTTTTGTAGCTGAGCTGGGACAATTCAATTTGGGGGATGAGGGAACCTGACATGGCCGGTTTATAGAAACTGCTGAGTACTGCTTGTTTCTGATCAGTTAGTCCAAGTGCAGTCTGACACCTCTGCCCGATCCCAATTCCAATAAACAGAAGGAAGGGCATGATCATTTTATGCTACAAAAGTGCTTAATACTGCTTTATGCTCATTATGCCCCACACCCAAAGTAATACAAGGTTTTACAATACTTTTTTTAGTCTTCTTTCTCTGACCCTAATCCTTTGCATCAAGAAATGTTGCCACCCTACCAGAAAGAAACAATGCAAAAGCAATGCTTTGTTTTGGGAGGGCAGAATTACAAGCTTTTCCGAAACGCTTCACAAATACAGCCTTTTAGCTGCACCATAAACCTGACGGTTTTCCTCTCCTATCCCCAAACATCACAGTGTACTCAGCAAGGCCACGGCCAGAGAGGAATTAAAAAAAAAAAAAAGTTAGAGCTTAAGCCTAGAAGTAACACCCAGAAAGTGTGCTCTCAAATCTCGTAGGCTGGTTACATTGGGCTTGTTCCTTCAGTGGCAAAGGAACAAATATAATGTACATGCTCAGAAATAGTCAATGCCTTATCTATGTGAAGCGTCCAGGAGGGATCCACAGTTCAATATTGAAGAGTTATAGAAACCAGTTTATTGAGCCATACCCTTTTCCTGGAGGGAGGAGACAAGAAGCCAGCCTGGATCATTAACTGATATGAGGTACTGTAGCTGGCTTTAAAGGTAGAGAGCAAATGAAAGTGACCTGACTAAACTGACTGGGGATAAGAAGCTTATTTCAGTGAGATTCTCCCAGCCTTGACCAATGCTTTTCTCTGTACTTTCTCACTTATCCCATCATACATGCTGCTATGGAGCATTCCCTCAGGCAAGGCAGCAATTTCAGGTCACTATGATTTATTAAAAAGCACGGGCAGTTTTACCACCTTTTAAATAATTAAAGAGATTTTGCAAAGAGGCGGGGCGAGTCCATGAGTGTGTGTGCGCACATGCATGCAGGAAAACACAGAAAATTAGCAGGTACTTTGCATGCCCCAAGACTGGGGAAGGTAGGAGGATGGGAGAAGGAGGGATCTACAAACATTTCTTTTCTGGCAGTGGCTCCAGAAAAAGTTGCTAATTTCAGGCTCCCAAGACAGGCTTTAACAACTCTGGTCTTCAAAGATCAGAGTCCTGATGGCTCAATTACATACAGCTTTCTCCCATGACAGACAAAATTCCATCTGGATAGTGGTACTGAAAATGGCAGAGACTGTTTACTTCCAAATCCCCCATCATCTCTTAGGCCAGACCCTCACAGTGATATGCTGAGCTAGGCAGAAAGCAGTTCATCAAGTATATAAGGAAGTCTATCAAGGATTCAGTCAACTGCTACAACTGCTTCCCTAGGATTGCAAAAACAGGACAATACAGGCTTGGTGAACTGTTCCTGACATGGTGAAACAGAAGCTGCATAGACCTGGCATAGACTACCTGAAGAATGCACAAACTTCAGGGGAATTTTAGGTTATTCTAGGGGAAATCATTCTTATAACTTAACTTTCACACAGGGTTGCTGCAAGCAGCCAACAAAATAGTACACACATTGCCATAACCCCTTTGTGAGAAGGGCAGAATACAATATAAGAACTGAAACAAAGCCCTAAACTATGGTTTGACTAGGGTTCAGCTTTTAATAGATGCATGTTTTTGTTTTTTCAGATTAGGTGGTTTGTTGGTTCAATATTCATTTTTTAAACGATAAACACTCCATAACTGTCTAATTCCACAATAATGACATACAAACATTATTTTCAATAGAAGAGAATATATGAAGCTCGAGGTTGAACTGTGGAGTTCTTGGTGCTGAGTTTGGTTGTTTGCTTGCAGATGTTTCATTACCCGACTAGGTAACTTCATCAGTGCTAGTTAGTGTGGGGTTTGCTCCCTGTTTATATACAGTAGCTTGCCCTGCCAGTGTTGGTGTTTTTTTCCTTGGTAGTTCCTTGACTAGGGTATTGTTTTCTGCTTGATTGTTTGTCTGGTGTTAATCCCTGCTTATCTGGGTGTTGGCTGCTGGAGAGGATGTGTTGTCTCTGTTGAATGGTGTGTAAATGTGGTTTATCTCTATGTGTCTGTCTTTATTTCTAGACACATAGAGATAAACCACATTTACACACCATTCAACAGAGACAATTGATTAACATTGTCTGGTGTTAATCCCTGCTTATCTGGGTGTTGGCTGCTGGAGAGGATGTGTTGTAGGCTTTCTGTTTCTGTTTTTTGCTTTGTTTCCTTCTTAGCTTTTTTATTGTCTCTGTTGAATGGTGTGTAAATGTGGTTTATCTCTATGTGTCTAGAAATAAAGACAGACACATAGATAGATAGATAGATATAGACACATAAAGACAGACACATAGATATAGACACATAGAGACAGACACATAGATATAGACAGACACATAGAGATAAACCACATTTACACACCATTCAACAGAGACAATAAAAAAGGTCTGTCTCTATGTGTCTATATCTATGTGTCTGTCTTTATTTCTAGACACATAGAGATAAACCACATTTACACACCATTCAACAGAGACAATAAAAAAGCTAAGAAGGAAACAAAGCAAAAAACAGAAACAGAAAGACTACAACACATCCTCTCCAGCAGCCAACACCCAGATAAGCAGGGATTAACACCAGACAATGTTAATCAAGGAATTACCAAGGAGAAAACCACACCCCCACCAACACTGGCAGGGGAAGCTACTGTATATAAAAAAGGAGCAAACCCCACCCTCACTTGCACTGATGATGGTACCTAATCGGGGGATTGAAAATCTGCAAGCAAACAGCCAAGCTCAGAGAGCACCAAACATTCTTTTTTGCTGCTCTGCCCCCTCTAATCATGAACAAGAAAGGATTAGCTTCACACTTCCCCCTGGCAACAGCCTGAGCTTCCTTTAAGGGAAATCAACATTACAGATTTGTTAGGACACCCACATTCAGACATTAACTTGTGTTTGTGTGGAAAGAGTGGCTAAATTTTAAAAGGCTCCTTGGTATCACCAGGCTTCCAGTGCTCTTTAATACCATCCTTATCCTGGGATGCCACCTCCAGAGACAGAAGCACCATCTATCTCAAATCATTAGGGTTTGTCCTGCATCAATTCTGGTGTCACAGTAACTGGAACTGGAGGGCGGGGGAAATCAGCAACTAATCATAGAATCCTGCTCCCCTCCTCCCAAGCCCAGCTTTGTGTCACGCATCAACTTGGCAGATTCATAAGTGGAGGTGCCTGCCATGACAAGCTGTCAGTAAAATCTTATTATTCCTTTATTGGCAAGTCTGCTGTGATACCTGACCTTCCCACCTACCTCCTGCTCAGAATAAGCGTGTTCCTCCACCCAACACCAAACACTACGCTTGGAGCTTGAAGTCCAAGCTGGGCCAGCAGCTCAATGCTTCTGCTCAGATATTTTGAATATATGCTGTCCTGGGAATCAAACCTCCAGGAGGAAAGGTAAGAAATCTCTAGTGGAAAGAAAAGCAATGCAGGTTTCGTACAAAGCAGTGACAAGCGCCAGCCCTAGAACTATCTCAAGCAGGCTTTTCTCAAACTCTATTCATTCCTGTTTGGAGGATATCTGCAAGCATTTAACAGAACACTGTCTTTTTCTGGAGGTTCAGTGCTACTGTGGAGGGTATTCAAAGGCTAAAGCTGCCCAATATTCACAACTTCCTTTTATAAATAAAGTGCCCTTCAGCTCAAGAAATTCGGGCTCCAGTTGCTTTAATAAAGAAGCAGCATGGTGCTAAACTCATGGCTGCAAGGGAATGCTGGGAAATATACAATGACATTTTAGAGTACCACAAGGCTTCTAATGAGTAGTCAGCATGATTTTACAACAGTGCTTGTAATATTTTTACAGGTATTTTTCTCCTAAGGCCCTAATAGCTGTCTCATATCCTCTGTCTGTGTCTGCCTTTTGTCATCTGGCCATACTGTAAGCCTTTCTAAACAGGGCAAGACAGGATGGGTGAAATTAAGAGTCAACAGCCTTGTGAATGCTTCTTAATGCAGCTTGGACAGTCTTTGAAAGATGGTTTGAATCATATTAGAAATGGAAGAAATCGGGTATAACAAACTAGAAAAGCCAAAATGATTATTCAATGCATTTAATATATAGTAATTAGTCTGCTGAATGAATCCCAACTGCACTGTACGATAATGCTGGAGATTTCCTCCAATTCATACTCCCTTTTTTGTTGGCCCATCTCCAAAGAATAACAGCCAGATGATTAGGCTCCCAGTGTGTAACAAACTTCAGTCTAAGGTCCCACAAAAAGAGAGCAAATCCTACCTATCCATCCATCTACATATACTGCATTCATGCATAATATTGAGGATTATTTAACTATGGTGTATTCAACAAACCAGTTTCCTACATCATGCTATGCCAAAAAACCAAATCACATTATGGCTTAGTGATATGTGTCAATCAGGCCCAAAGAAAGTGATATTATCCACCCTATTCATCTACTCCACATACTGCCTACTCGGAATATTCAGTGAAATTTCTGCACTTAGTACAACAATCCAAGCCCCTCCCCGCCCCCGCAAAAAAGACAGATTTTTTGGACACTATTTTGACTTGGGATGTGTTAATATGAGACGGAAAAGAAAATGCCCCCCAAAAGACAAAATACTGCCTATTATGAATATTTAGTACATTTTAAGTT